GGACCGGGCAGTGCTAGGTACCTAGGCATCTACCACTTTATTGCTGTAGTAGTGATTTCTCAGCTATGAACGGAGTGCCATTTTGACCGCTAAGCCACTGCGCCTGGGGGCGTCATTCTCAAACGCCGTACGGAGGGAGGATGTACAGACTGTAGATAACACGGCACGTATAAGTCCGTGATCGTTCTCCTACGCAACCAACACCACTTCGTACCTAATCGTACGCTACCTTTGTAGGACTTACGGCATAATTAGCAACCAACGTAAGGACGGATGCCAAGATTTCCAAGACCTCGGTTGATCACCCCACGGTATTAGATAATCAGACACGCTGTGGTGTTGATGTAGCTACCGTGGTGCAAGTGTACGGTCCGGTCCGTAAGGTCAGGGGTTTGACCGGCGATGGTGGCGGCAATATTTCTCTGTGCATGGAATGGGTACGGCCCTCGTCTTGTCAATTACGGTGGCAGACGAAGTACATGAGTTATCAATGCGCCCAGAGCATCAGTGACGGCACCCGTGGTTATCGCCCACTTACAGCGCCCTTCACAGTCGCACACGCCTGTCCAATATCGCTGAACGACCGATTCGAGGTCTTGGCATCCATCCGCTGTTTGTCACCACTTTTACTCAAGAGTTTGTATGTACATACTCAGGACGGACGTACGGACGTACACGTCGGAGATGCGATTTTAATGACTAACCCACCATTATGTCGATCCGGGTCCACGTAGCTATAAGAGGTAGCTGCCCCCCTGTCTGTATGCTGGAGCCAGCGCAGTGGCCGGGCAGGGCGGTGGACCGAGCAATAGCGTAACGACGTTAAGTGGACACTGGTCATGTGACGCATTGATCCGATGATGGAAAGGACCCAAAGTTGCGAGCTCGCGCCGCCTGCCCCACCATTTTCGGATGCGCTGGGGTTGAATCACCAACGACCCTCCGAATATGGTGTCCGGACCCATGCCAATTCAGGTGTGCGAAGCAGGATCCTACTACACGATGTAGCTACATAGCTGTTTACGTAGTAAACTTATCGTATCCGGAAGTACAGACGTATTCAGCTAACTAACGACGCCATCTTCATGCGTTCGCTGAGCGCAGAATATGTACATACGTCCCCAGTGCTAGGTATCTGTACTAAGTAAATTTTTCAAGATGTCAGACCGTATAATAGAACGGCGCGTTGTGGCGAGATCTTGGCTGTTGAAGATGACGCGTTTTGCCATCCGTTATGTAACGACATTATGCACGGTACAAATGGAATTTTGTGCATAATCATAACTTGAAGAATGCCAGATCCAGTGGATCCCCGTCAATTACCTAATTATCCACTAAAAGCGACCAAAGAGGTTCGATGCAATTAACGCGTTATCCCCTCCTGCGACGCGTGTAGCTGCTACTTTATTGCTCCGAATCAAATCGTCGCGCGTCCATCTTTAATCGGATCCATCCTCCGTCACGCGCTGTCATGTATACACGCCATACACGTTCTTTCTAAGCTGTCAATCTTCATAATGCTTCGTCAGGGCTTCGATCGCATTGACCCGAAGCGGCGCAACGTTCTTGACCACCGCAAGAAACAGTTTGCCGAGCCGACTTACAAACAAACCGAATACCCCTACGCCCTCAACTTCTACTCCACCCCGCCCACCGCGGATATCACGCTCGAGCAATTTGAACAATGGGCGATCGATAGGCTGAGGAGTGAGCATGCCGGTCCAATTTCTCTCGTGGCCTGCTGCTAACGGGATCTGCCAGTCCTCGCGGAACTAGAAGCATGCTCGTTTCGCAACAAATCCCTGGCCGAGACGGCCAACCACATGAAGCCTCTACTGGAGAAGTATCTCCTTCTCCAGTCGAATTCTTCATCCTCATCAAAGCTCTTCGCCGAGCGTCAGAAAGACCACTACAGCCATTTCATTCTACGGCTGGCCTTTGCTTCGACCGAGGATTTGCGACGGAGGTTTAGCCGTGTGGAGACCATGTTGTTCCGCTTGCGCCTGGACGACGAGAACTCACGTGAGAAGAATGCGTTCATACAATCTATCAACCTAGACTGCGAACAGGTGACAGAAGATGAGCGAAACAGGTACAGGGATGAACTAAACTCGGTACTGGGTTTCAAGAAAGGCAGCGAGGAGGAGACGTGGATCAAAGTTGACTGGGAAAGAGTCCCAGATCTGGTAGAATCTAGGCGGGTATTCGTGAAGGCTGGGAAAGCTTACGTGCCCTCCAAGGAACAATCCAGCATGGTGATTGCCGAGTTTTCCCAGCGACTAGATCGCGCATTAGAAGTATTTCTGCCTCGCCTGTATCGCAAGAGGATGCGTATTGACGGGGACTTAGTTAACCGCTCGCGCCCTGCCACGGCTCGATGAAGACGACCGGCTCACACCGATACTCGATCATCTGTCGAAGAACTTCATCACACCAGATGCCTCATATGCAAATTCGACTTCATCAGTGCCTGGTGCCGATATCTCAGCACGCAACATCGATGCGCTTTCTACCCAATTCCCCCTATGCATGCAGAACTTACACCGAAACCTTCGGCGAGACGCGCACCTCAAGCACTTCGGTCGTTTGCAATATACGTTGTTTTTGAAAGGCATGGGACTAAATTTAGAAGAATGTTTAATCTTTTGGCGGAGCTCCTTCCATAAGATCACAGACGACACTTTCAACAAGGAATACCGATACAACGTGCGGCACGCGTACGGTGATGTTGGCGGCGACTCGAACCGTCGCGGCGGCGGCTATTCGCCTTTCTCGTGCCAGAAGATCTTGACGGAGCATCCACCTGGTCCCGGTGAGGCACACGGATGCCCGTACCGCCACTTCAGCCTTGAAAATCTCACGGCGCTGCTGCAGGGCGTGGGCATCACGGATAGATCCGTCCTGCAAGGTGTCAGAGAAGACAAGGAAAGCCAGAAGTTCCATATGGCTTGTAACCGGTACTGCTCCGCTCTTTCTCTTGTTTGTCTGTCGCTTGTACTAATTTGCGGAATGCAGGGTATTTGAGTATGTTCACAAGAACGAAATTAAGAAAGCGAAGGACGAAGGCGTCATGACTGCCGCACAGCTCGAGACCATTGTCCATCCCAACGAGTACTTCAAGCGCAGCTATCTGCTGAAGAACCTAGGTAAAGCAAACGAGGATATCAAGATGGAGGGGTCTTAGACGTCTGTCTCTGGTTGATTTATGGGTCACCAAGAGGGTATGATGGTCGGCATTCCACACGAGACGTATGCATGCAGCTATCGGTCGGGAATGGTTATAGTTATGGGATGTTTGGAGCATCGGGTTCGAGGGTGACACATCCTTCTATTGAGAAGCCCCAAGTCGGGGCTACGGCGTTTGGATGGTAGATCTGGACAGGGCAGAGGGAAGTATTTTAGCATGAAGCAATGATATGATTGAACCACCATCGCCATTCTCTCTTGATCTCTATTGCGAGCAGCGCATTCGGCCGACAATTCCTCGTCCGATACCCGGGCATAACATAGATCAACAACCCGTCGCCAATTGATTCTCAGGCGGTACCGGCCGTGAACAGCGCGGATGCGGCCGGGACGTCCAATATAGTAATGATTGCGGCGTAACGATATCGGCACGGGAGTTCTAAGGGGGCCGGCAAGAGGCTGGGTAAAGGATGTCTTGCCTGAACATCATGCCTACACTCAAACCAAGCCAGGTAGATAGGCTCTCCCATCATCAGGTAGTCCTAAGTCGCTCGTACGTTCAGTAGTTACCTATTCTTTCCCTCCCCTCGGGCTAATTAGCGGCTCATCCTACGGATACACCCGTAAGACGATCCGCGTAACAAACCGTACACCTCTAACTATCCAGCAAATCAAGTCCACCCCCGTCGCTCATATCCGGTGCCTTTTCGGCATCCGGCACGTCGATAGCCTCCGTAGCCCAACGATAAGCCATCCGCCATGTAAACAAGAAACGAGCAAACACGCCAAGCAGCCGCGGCTAATCGCGAAGATCTCCAACAGCTGGCAGTTTACGGCTCTGCAGAGATCTCCCACCGCCGAGGTTCCCGGAAGCAAGGTAGGCACTAAACACCGCTGCATCGGCGTCTTCAGCCAGCATGCCCGGGGATCTTCAACCTGGCGTCATCAGGACCCGGATCGGCGAAGCCCGCGAACGAACCAATGGCGGCGATATACATAACGCTCCCGATCGACCAAAATCGTCCCCAAAAGCCCCCGCCCCTCGCAAGATATGTCCCGATTTGGAGCGATGACAAAAACGGCCCCCACCGGATGATCTCCCCCCCCCGTCCACCCGTCCACCCGGAACTATTTCCGACGTGATTGGATGCCTGCGCACCACGTCGGGGTGCTGTAGGTCCTTGCAGATATGTAGGTACGTTGACTCGGACGCGAGCCAATCGTGGCCCGGCTCCCCGCTGGCATCCCGACGACCTACAATGATGCGGATTACCTGCCCCCCCGCCCGATAATCACCGGCGTACGCCGCCGCGAGCACATGTTCGGACAAACGAGGCAGCTCCCGTCAGCGGCTTCCTTTGACCCCACGGCCCACACAGCATCTCAATGGCGCCTGTACGCGAGCCGGGGGTTGAGTCCACCGCCAATGATTCGGTAGGAACCGTCCGTATGTACTTTGCTCCTATCTATACCGCCACCATCTATATAAGGAGTACCTAGCAAAATGATAACGCGCCGTAGGCACCTAGGTGAAGTATTCCGTAACTCCAATGCCCATGGAACGCACCAACGAAGCAAGGAACATCCCCATAAAAAAAAACGCTTAGTAAGCGCCGGACACACCGATGACTAAGAGCGGGGCCCGGGCAGCCGCGCCAAGGCGCTAAGCCAAGGGATATAAGCTTAAAAGAATGGAGAGCTCCCCAACAACGGTCGATTTGGCGCAATGGTAGCGTACAGACCTCCTAAGTCTGGGGTTGCGGGTTCGAGTCCCGTGATCGATGCGTTTTTCCCTGAAAAGAAATTTTCATTTTGGGCGAATGGTCTAGGGGTATGATATTCGCTTTGCATCTACAAAAAAAGTCCTGAGGAATTTCTTTCGGTTTGAGGCCGTCGTTTGTTCCGTGTAATATGTGCTTGCGAAGGGTCCGGGGTTCAAATCCCCGTTCGTCCAATTTCTTTTCATCTTTTTTTTGGGAAGTTTTTCTCGCTTGATTTCCTGCCTACGTATGTATGATGCTTCTTGTTGGGCGATGCGCACGTACAGTTGGTAAGTAACGCTATAAACTAATGCCTCGAGCTCTTAGTTTTGCTTACGGCTTGACTATTCGGGATGGTTTACGAGCAGTGGCAGACAACTCTCTGAAAAGGGGGAGAGCTACTAATGCAAGCACATGGAGACGCGGGTAACAAATGAGCACCTAAATCTGGAGCACGTTTCGCTTGTAGTGATTGATATTCTGTTTTTTTGTTTTTTTTTCGTTTCCTCTTTTTATCCGCTGGGTGCTGCATGTGTATAAGCTTAGGGTATCTCGCATGTCCTCGCCGAAAAAAAAAGCCCTGACCAGAATGATCCCAAATCCGTCAGCACTGCCCTGGCGAATATCACTGAAAGTAGAGGTAGTAATGATGGTGATAGGCAGGCAGAGATGAGTGAGAAAAAGAACTGGTTGAGTTCATCTGCTTTGAAAAGCCCGCCGCGAGATTCAATTACTAACTTTTCCCCCCTCGCTCATAGCTACCCTCTCTAGAATCCAGATAGTAAGGGTGCGCGCGAAAATAAAAAAACATTGTCGATTACTTTATCTTTTAAAAAAGGTTCTGTGTGCTGATCTTGTCTCGTCGATTCCTCCCAATAGCCAGTTTGAATAAAAATTGAATATTTTGAAAGGCCATCAATGTCGCATCGTAAGCTGTGAATCATAATAGAATATGACACGCTATGTCATCTAATATCGCGTAACGCTCCGCCCGTAGCTGATTATCGTCAGGTCATACAGAACAGGCCAGGGGTGAAAGCCTGTTTTAATACTGTCGATAGCTCTGGTAACAAGGCAAAAAAAAAAATGAAACATTCGTGGGGTCGAAGAAAGTTCGTCGGATCGAAGGCGGCCGCACCAAATCATAAGAATCCTCCTTCGTCCCCGAATACACCGATGCCGCCACGCCATCGACAGGAGTCGTCTCTGTCATTCGGAATCTGGCTGGCCATCTCGGGGCCCACGGAACCCCGAGGTGTGTGTTGCGTGTCGAAATCGCTGCTGCCGCGATTACTACCAGCGCTAACATTAGACTGAACAATGAGCAAACTGCTCGCGCCGCTCAACCGTTTCGAAAAGTCGTTGAAACTTAAGCTTTTCGAGTCATAAGTCGAACGTCGTCTCTCGCGGGATCGTCGTATTGATTCTGATTGAGTTGGAGGAGATGATGGTAAGTTCAGCTGTGGGCTAGGAATGTAGGGCTGACTGTTTGTCCGCTGAGCAGTTGGCCGGCTCCGTGAATTTGCCGTGTGCGGTCGTAGAGCAGACAGACCGTACTCGCTATAGATCGAGCTGTGACGATCGGTGATAAATTGGCGTGCTCTCGACGATGATTGATCCATTTCATCGTGGTAAGTATCGTGCTCAAAGGCATAATTGTCACTGTCTTCATCTTCCGCCTCCTCCACGCCCCTGTCATACTCATCGTCATCACTTTCATAGTCCCATGTGCTCCGTAAAGGCGTCTGGGTAGCTTCTTGGTCGCGAGTGCTTTGCCGGTGAGACTCCGTTTCACGCATCAGTGCTTCAAACCGTGCAAGAGACGTGAGTTTCTCCTCCCCTGCGATCTCCCGTTCGGAGCCGGGAATGTACCGCATTTGAAATGCTCGATCTAGGATAGTCTCACGGGGCGCCATAAGTGGGCTGGCATCTAAGCTGGGTTGGTCAACATCATTAGAGCTGATGCTCCCTCGGCCTCTGATGGGGGAGCTCAGAGCCGACGACCGCCCTTGCGCCGTTGTCCACCCTTCTATGAACTGTTCTGGATGTTCTCCAATGGCAGAACTGGGCGAAGGCAAATCAGGGTGCTGAACGTTGGGGTAATACTGTTGCACGAAATTCAAAGCAGCCGGCACCATAGAGCTCGCCTGGGAGGACAGGTTACTCTTGTGAGAACGAAGACTAGGAGAACCGGAATTGTATGTTGAGCTCGGGTCGCGTGACGGAGGGTAAGCCCCGCCCGATGACTTCGGCTGTAGTTTCAACTTCAGCTTTCCTTTCGTGCTAGGTGGTTCATCGGCATCTTGCGTTGGTGGTAGCTGGGACATGAAGCCCGACGACGCCGTACTGGTGGGACTCGTAGGTATAGACTGATGCCACTGGATGAGGGCTTGAATATACCTCGCCCACTCATCCAAGCTATGTTTCGAATCCTCAGCAGCGAGGAATTGTAGTGTTGTCGGACCCGCATCCCTGGTCGTCGTTAATCCACCAGTTCGACTCGATCGGCGCTTGCGTAATTTGTCGGTTGCTGGATCAGGGGAGACTTGAACGACCAGTGTCGGAAGAGTCTTGCTATGCTTCCGATGGGCAAGTTGTTGCACCTGACAATCAGTTATCGACGTAATCGAATGCTGGAAAATGGGCTCGATCTCCTCCTGTCGTGGTGTTAGCAGGCGCAAGGCAAACACCAAATATCCATATCGCCTAGAGCACACCTTGAGTTTGTACATAGAGAAGTAGATGCCGTCTACGGGCGCTTTCTGGAGCGATTTCGAAGACCTACCAGCAGCGTCTTTCACGCGACCAGAGGACAAAACTTGCGTTAGGGTCAGATTCTGCTGACTGCCATCATTCCGGAGCAAAGGACCAATAACAACGCAACGCGGCTAGAGATGCGATCTGTCAGCGTTCCGACAAGGTATAATGATGCGTCCAAGCAGTGACGGTAACTACCTTCCAGGAAGATTTTCCCAAAAATGGCCCCCGCTCTGGGGGTGCGAGCAGAATGTCGTCCATGAGTATTGCGGTTACTTCGCAGACTTCGCAGTGCGAGGCTGCTCGCTGCTGCTGCTGTTACGGGCGTGGGTTCGGCAGCGCGTTCGGGTCTGAGCCTCGGTGTGTGGTAATGTACGATGGCACACAGCTGATCAAAACCCGCAGACAGGCAAAGAGGCTGAAACCTTTTGGCTGTATCAAAGCGGCATGCTGGGAGGCGGGACGGTAGTGTGAGGAAAGGACGTGGTGGTAACGGCCCTTTTCCAAGATGACAATGCAAGCGGTGACAAGAAGAAACGAAAACGACGGATGGGCAAGTTTTGTTTAGGAGCTCAGCAAAGCCAACTGGGGCGGGAGAAACAAACTGGTCACGACCATATACTTAGTACAGTATTCTCAACGCGGTCGCATAACGGGCCTGCTAGGAACGAAGGGGTATGAAAGGAGACAAAAGAGCGAAGAGAAAGAAAGACGCAAAAGATGAAAGTACAGGTACAAGGACGAGCCCCGGAAGGGCGTCTCCTGATCCTTGCGCCCATACATTGGAAAGACATCTCGCATGTACCTCCGGGTATATATCGTGCTCCAGGTACGAAGCATCTCATGTAACCACCTTAATTAAAAAGCGTGTGCATTTCTGTAACGTGGTCACCGTATCGCCGGCCAGGGCACCCATTTCCAGCGACTTGGCGCCCCTATTGTCGACCCGTCTGAGAGGCGGGGTGGTCAAGCAATGTGGTGGGCCAAGCAATAGTCAGGGCGCAGGCGAACCCGTTGAGGTAGCGTCGCGACGGCTACACCCACTGTAGACAAGCTTGGGCGTCCGTCACTGCGCTACTGGATCTAGTTCTCTTAGTCTGATCAAGCCGACTCGGGTGAGGCAGAGCGTTAGCACGACATGCTAGTTATCCACCTAGATAGGTAGGTGGGTAGAACAGGGCGTGGTGAGAGAGGGAGAGGGAGAGACGAGCGGCTGTGACCTGGTGTAGGGACGGTACACGATGAGTACAGCGCACGGAACAAAAGGGACACAATCGCACCACCTTCTTGTCGGCCATGGATACGGTAGGCTTACTATTAAGATAATCTAGGCCAGGAATAGAAAAGACTGAGGGGTTCCAAAACCCAGCTTGACTCCATTTGGATAGAGACGTTCGGACATAAGCCAGAGTGGCGTTGAAGGCCGCAGTAGGCGTAAGATGTCTTATACATGCGCTGCGTCGTTACTGGCAAACCGTCTTGTTGAAGTGAAGTCGGGCTGCCATGGAAGTGCCCATATGACCGTGTACGGTACCTAACTTGAAGGTCCAGGTAGGCTGCTGGCATGTGCGGTGCGAGCACATTGGGTACCTTACATAGGCGCTGTAGGAACAGTGGACTCGCAGCGATTGCCGTGTCCACAACAGGCACCGGAAAGGATGCGGCCTGCTGGCATTATACACTAACCACCTATACTACACCTGTTGGGCATAGCCGGAGGCGCTAGAACAGGTACCAGCGCTGTCTGCTGCTTTCTAGAAGTTCCGAAGATCTATGGAAGTATGGAAGTTACAGAGTACCTCCGTTATACACTTACCTAATGTGGTACCTATTGTACCTATCTACGCCTAGGAGGTACCTATGATGCACACCCAGTGCTAACCACACGCGATGCAATACGTGATGCAATACGCGATGTGCTTCATACCTCTGTACCGAGTGTCATGCCCTATGGCAGTGTACTAATTGTGGCATGTCCCTATTTTAGATCATTTATGCATGGCTCTTTATGGCTCTTTATGTATCTAAGAGATATCCTGGAGTTGACCGCCATCGGTCTCAGTCTCAACCCTTATTATCGGATCGATGGCACGGTCCCGGGATGCACTACGCTACACACGTTCTGAAACATGCTAAACCTCTCTTGTTTTTTATAGTGAACGGCACTGTGCGGGCCGGCAATCTGCCCCACTGGCGTGCTCTCGGTCAGCGCCTCGTACATGTAACTCCGTTGTGCAATTGGCGGGATGGGATACATCGCCTCGGGCCAAAAGCGCAAGTAAGACGCTGTCAAGCAAGGCCATACTTACAGTGTGCAACAGCCTCATGGCACAGTAATTACCTGGTAGGTACTGCCTACCTGCCCAGACACCAGTATAATACGCAGTATACCTCTCACTATATCTAGCCGTTTACAGCATTTTATTACTTAGTAGTA